TTAATTTTCTAATTTTTAACGATACAATAGCGATGATTATTATTTTAAAAAATTTTTGTTAGGCTTAACATCGATGAAAATTCAACGCGAAGTAGGTTAATAGCGATATACTAATATACTAATTACATGGGATATAATAATATACTACACTAATAATGGATTTTTTCATACTTTTCGGTTATCCGACTTTTCAATTATCCGACCAACCCCAGTCCCCAATTGGGTCGGATAATCGAGGCTCTACTGTAAATACTTTTTCTTGCCGTATATCTAATAATAGACAGATGTCATCGTCTCTCCAGATGTCTTTTTTATTTTTCTGTCGATAGCCGGACACGTGTTCAGCAGCCATCTTGTATTTTCTCGCGCGCGTAGGATTGTGGGATCTCTCTTATGACTGGATCTAGTTTCAAGAACTCTCTCCAGTCGATCGCGATTTAGCCTCGTTTCAGTCGAGAATGAAACGGTCGAGAGCGTTCGCACCACGGAACTCTCTCCGACCTTAGTCACAATTTAGATCGAAATGCTCGGTGCGAACGGGGTATTAGGATCTGGGCTAACAAATTTCCAGGAATTTTTTGTGATAAGACATAGAGCCTGACCCGGATAGGTCGGGCTCTGTGTCTTGCCACTGGACGCCGTCATTGAGGGACTGGTTGAATTCACGATGGATATACAATACAGTAATTTAAAAACTTTCTTGGTGTTCACAGGGCAGAAAGAACGAAAAAATGCAAATACAATATTCAATAAAATTTGTATAATTTCAAATAAAAATCTCGCAAAATTAATTTTTTAATCATGTAACGAACTTGCAAGAAACAATTTAATCTTTTATTAGAAGTGTAACTTTAGTGCAATGTTATTTTCAACATCGATAGTTTTCGTATGGAGAGAACGTAAACTATCATAATTTAATTTAGAAGTTTATAACACCATTAAATGTTATAGATTAAATTAATTTTCGTTTTCTATAGAGATTTATTTTTTTATAAACTTCATTTAATATATATTTGATACAGTTTATTACAAGTTAAAATATTTATTCTTCTAACTCAAATTTGTCGTATTTATTTATTTATTTTTCATTAAACATTTGTTTTCTTTAAACAAATTTAAAATATATTTACTTATTTATCAATAACATTTATTTTTTTATCTTAATGGTTACATTTACTGTATATCAATAATTATAATTTAAGCTATTTTATTTCTAATAATACGTCAAGAAGAAATTAATGAATTCTTTGCTAATGTCAAATTAATTTGTATATATTTCTCACATTATTTATCTGAAATGAAAGATTTGTTAGAATTACAAAAATTAAATAATTAAAAGTACTCAGCAGCAAGGCAAGAAATTTTTATAAATTTAATTTAATAATAAATAAATAAATGTTTTCGAAAGTAGAAATCGAATCTCGAAACCTTCCGATGGAAACCGTTTTGTTTTCGCTTTACTTTTATTTGTTTGTACAAGTCGACCCCCTATAACACTGTTGATTATTCCGTTTTATATGAATTCCATGTTGTACGAGTCACTTAGATTTTACAAATACGTGAGCCGTTCACAGCCCGGCACACATATTTGTAAAATTTAAGTGACTCGTACAACATGGAATTCATATAAAACGGAATAATCAACAGTGTTATAGGG